GCCTGCCTGCCTCTATTATATTTAACTAAGGGCCTTAGTTTATAGCTAAATTCTAGAAATACCTAACTAGCCGCCTAAGAATTAACTACTTACTATTAACTATATACTATTCTAAAACTAATAGCTAGACTAAAAAAGCTAATACTATTCTAGAATAGTACTTACAGGTATATATATTCTATTTATAGGATAACTAGGCTAAATAGCTACTTTTAGCTAAACTGTTAATTAATACTATAAATTCTAAAAGCATCTATATCTCTCCTTTCTTTATAAACTATAGCTTCTACCTATATCTAGGTTTTAAGCCGGTTAAACTATTAACCCGCCCGCCTACTAAAAATACTAAGCGCTTTACTAAGTATATAAAAGAGATTCTGGAATATCTAAAGTCTAAACTTACTGCCTTTTATACCTAATATAAGGATAATATAAACTGTAACTATTGCCCTGCTTATAACTATTAAGTTAACAACTTAGTATAGTTAAATACTAAGAATATTAAAACCCTCCGCCCCTAAAAAAAGCTGGATTAGAAGAATCTTAGACTATTCCGCATAGAGAAGGTCGTCAGCCCTTACGCATACCGCCTAACCTTACCGGAGAGCATGCGCAACCACAACGTCTTCCACGTTAGTTTACTAAGACCTGCCGCGAATAATCCGCTGCCCGGCCAGCGTCAAGAACCACCGCCGCCAGTTGAAGTCGAAGGCTTGGAGGAGTAGGAAGTCGAGGAAGTTGTCGACTCTCGATGGGAGCGTCGCGGTCGTGGCCGCCCCCGCCTGAAGTACACGGTGAAGTGGACCGGATACAACGAAGTCACAGAAGAGCCCGCTGACTATCTGGAACATGCCGAGGAAGCTATCCGGTCGTTCCATCGCCGTTACCCTGAAAAGCCCGGTCCTTAGGCCTCAACGGAGTTCGGCCGTAAGGAGGGGAGTACTGTCACGGCTTGAACGGTGAAGCTTGCTGCACAGAGTAACACGTGATGTTAGGACCCGGCGAGAGGCCTTGTTGCAAGGGCCTATGCGAGCCTTGGCAGGAGTATACCTGCCGACCGCCGCCCTGCCTCCTTGTAGCTCCTTGAGCTACGTCTTGTTATTCAACCCGCCTGCCTGCCGTGCATTATAGAACACGTAGTGAATTCAGTTATTACTTCTACCTACCTGCCCGAGCTAGCTAGGGCAATCCTGCCGCCCGAGACCGTGACACGCCCTATCTAAACTAGAGCTGGCCTTACAGGCGCGCTGTATTAAACTATGCATTTTTCTATATTATATACTGTTGCTACACCAGTGTAAATAACCTTAGCAATCTAATCTAGGCGCTAATTAAGCTGGAGGAGTTGCATAATATCTAGGCGCTGCGAGGCTGATATTGGATGCTGGTTTCGCCGTCGGGATCGGGCACTGCCAGAAAGGAGGATTTGACGGCAGATCGAGTTGTAGCTCCGCACTAACACTAAAAATCATTAGTATACAAGCTCTATATGCATGCGAGAAGCCTCACTAATTATTGAGTTAGGCACGTTTAAGAGGGGGCGCTGCTAAATGTACACCCTATATTTACTCGGTGTACACCCCTTTTCTACTCCGTATACACCCTTCTTACGTCTGATCTTCTGATTGGTCCGGAGGAGTGCTCCGGGGCCTCCGATTCGCTCGCTTACGTTTCTCACTAATTCCAAATGCTCTCTCCAAGTGCGGCGTGGCCACAAAGCATTACATCCTGATCCTCAACTTCCTCAATACACTCACCATGGCCCTCAAACCACCACCGCCACGGTCCTACTGTACGCTAGATGAAGCCGAGGAAGTGCTTAGAGAGCATGCAAAGGCGCAGGGCTACGGGCTCATCAAGTTCCGTTCAAAACCAGACAGAAAGACGAAGGAAACGAGG